TCTGAAAGATGTATTTTTGTTCTAAATGCAGATGCTAGAGGTTTTCTTTCCTTAAGGTGATAAAGCATAGCGCATCAACAATATTTGATGTTTGCGTAACTAGTTCAAATTTATTGTTTGTGATGCTGCTGCTGCTGTAGCCTGGTCAACTATCTTTTTTCTGAAGAATTCAATACCAGGAATGCAAAGTAGTCAATTGGACCCTATAGCAAACAAAATGGAATCTTCACTTTCAGAAGCTCAACGAGGGGTTGTAGTTTCTTCCAATGATTCTTCATTGCATCAATATTTAGTACCTAATAGGCAAATGGAACTAATGGGATCAATAGCTGGTGGATCTCTAGCTCAGAGTGGAATGGTATCATGCATGCAAACCGGACATATTGATGTTAAAGCTGGAAATTTTGGACAGCAACAATTTCAATTACCTGGCAATCCATTTGGAGGTACTGGAAGCATGCTGAGAACTGCCGAAGGGGTGCTGTCACTTCCTAAGCGCAAGGCAACGATTGAGCCTTTTAATCCTCTCTCACAGCAGTTTCCATTGCACAATAAGCGAGTTGCATCCATGGAACATCGTCCATGGTTGCAACAAACATCTGGAATAGCCAGAAGGCCTCCTTTACAAATACCAAACAATGCCCCAGCTCCTGTATCAATGCATTCCCCTGCTGGAATTAAGAGAAAGGTACAGCAAATGGAATCACATCCAACTAAAGTTCGACATCAACGTCCCACTACTTCCAAAGGCCAGACTGCTCCATTGGCTCCAACTTCCAAAATTCAAAGTGAGCCGACAGGATCTGTGAGATCAAAGATGAGGGAGTCCTTGACTGCCGCATTAGCCTTGGTTACACAGCAGCAAGATAAGTTACCTAATGGCGAAAAAAGTTCTTTAACTGTGGCTGAAAAGTCTGCAGTTCCAGAGCAGGAAAATTCTGTATTTTCTGGTCCAGCTATTGGTCATGTATCTGATGACTCCAAGAAACTGTTCTCTGAAAAATTAGATTCTGTTGGTCTTGAAGACAATGTAGGAAAGATGTTAGATAAGAGTTCTCTATGTGTAAATGTTAGTGATTTAGAGCCGTTGAGATATGATGGACGGGTGTTTCAACAGAATAATGTTTTGTCGTATGAAGACATTTCTTTTGGGGATAACTTTTTTATTAAAGATGATCTTTTGCAAGAAAATGGTCTCTCTTGGGTACTGGAGGCTGATTTAGGGGTAACCGATAAAAAGGAAATGCGAACTGATGAACTTCAGAAGATGGACGTTGGTGTAGCAAATAAAAACCAGGGAGAAAAACCAGTTCAGACGCCTGAGGCTTTGGCACTTAAAATTGAAGAAGAATTATTTAAATTATTTGGTGGTGTTAATAAAAAGTACAAGGAAAAAGGAAGGTCCCTTTTGTTCAACCTGAAAGACAGAAACAATCCAGAATTGAGGGAAAGGGTTATGAGTGGGGAAATTACCCCCGAAAGATTATGCTCGATGACTGCTGAGGAGCTTGCATCAAAGGAGCTTTCCGAGTGGAGAATGGCGAAAGCTGAAGAACTTGCACAAATGGTAGTTTTACCCGATTCTGAAGTTGATATAAGGCGTTTGGTAAAGAAGACTCATAAAGGTGAGTTCCAAGTAGAAGTTGAACAGTACGATAATGCCTCTGCAGATGTTTCATCTGGGGCTTCTGCATTTTCTCAGAGTCAACGAAATAAGGATGAGACTGACGGTGGGTCTTCTGATGAATCTGAAGCAATTAAGGACGAACAGAATATTCCTGGTCAGAAAAATGGTGCATCTGACAAGGATAATTACACTTTCACAATTCCATCAAATGAAGGGACTGATTTGATGCAAGGACTAATGGTTGATGACGGACTCAAGGATACAGAGTCACTGCCTCCAATCGTCTCCCTAGATGAGTTCATGGAGTCCCTTGATACAGAGCCACCCTTTGATATTTTAGCTGAAGATGCTGGAAAATTGTCGCCTATTTTGGAGAAGGGTGAGCCAGAGCCTAGCTCTCGGTCGAAGGCTGCAGCTCATTCTACGAAAGGTGCAACAGATGTCAGTATAGACAAAAATAAGAACAATGAGGAATCTAATACAAAAGCAGATATTGGCTCATCTTCTGCCGCTCAAGTGGATTTGAAATCTAAGCATAGTAAAGCTGATGTGGATTCTAATGACAATCAAGCTGGTTCTGAAACATCTGATAGGAATGACGGTGCAAAATCTACTAGTGATAGTACTGCAAAATCTGGGACTGAATCCCTGTCTAGCACACTTAAGTTGGAACATCTATGGGATGGCATTCTCCAGTATAATATTTCGACAATGACTCCAGTTGTGGGTACCTACATAAGGTAAGTAATCATATATTTCTGTTGAATTTTATGATGTTACTTGAAATTTATTGCATGTCTCCTCCTTACATTGATCAATTGGCAGCCCAGCATTAGCATGAATCCATAGGCTTTCCATGTTTTTGCATTTTGGGCCTTCTCATTTGACCATTGATATCTTAGGGATTCCTTTTGATTTAGTGAAATGTTTGCCAAGTTGGAGTACTGCTTCTTTGAATGTTAGATAGATAATAGTTGTTTCAGTAAACGAGGATATGGTGTGTTGTGGTTGGTTTCCATGACGGAGGCTTGTTATTTGGTGTTGATTTCTACTGAATTCTGAAAGCTATCTCATGGGTTTTCTGGTCACGAATGTTGAATTCTGTTCATGATGTTCTTGATGCGTTTTTTAAAAATGGCATTGCTTTGGCGCAGTGGTGAAAGGACTTCAGCGAAAGATTGGCCTGGCATTCTTGAGATCAAAGGGAGAGTCAGATTGGATGCGTTTGAGAAGTTCCTTCAAGAGCTTCCATTATCTCGGAGTCGTGCCGTTATGGTATCTATAGTTTATTATTTTTGTTGTACGGAAAATGAAATGCACTTGAAATCCACTCCCCCCGGTGACAGAAAAGAACCAAAACAACAAAAGATGAAAGATCAAATAATAATAATCTTTAAAATTTTCTTTAGTGTTTTCCATTTAAACCTTCTGGCATCCATGCTCGTTATAACAATAGGTTTTTTGCTCTTTCCCCGGATGATTGATTGTATACAAAAATAACAACTCCATTCGTTTTACCTCAATTTGTTATTGTTTTTGTGCGCAAGCATATTGCCTCTCGGATAATCTTTCATGAAAATTTTAAAAACTATGCGATGTCAACCGTTCAAGCATCGTATAGCATTTGTTTTCATAATAAATGTGAAAATCAACTAAAATTGGTTCAACAATGTTAGTGAGTGAAAAAATTAAGACATTGCAATTCCAATACACGATTTAGTTATCAATCGGACGTATCTTTCACTTTCTGTTCGCTATTTCATTAAATTTGCTTTCAAAACAGAGGAATTAGGAGGGTCGTATGTGCAATAACATATTTTGGGTATCATAATAACATTATTGCTGTTGGTTCTGTTCTTCGTTTCTGGGTTTTGTTGGAGTTATTGATTTCAATTTTTCTTGCAGGTTCTTCATTTGGATTTGAAGGAGGGTCGTCCCGAAAGTGAACGAGCAAATCTCCGAGAGGTAATGGATTTGGTTATCCCTTTAAATGTCTTTTCCAGAAAGCTTCTGCGATTCTGCTGCAGTTTTTATAGTTGAATGTTAAAATGTTGCAGGTTGCTGAATCGTATGTTGCGGATGAGCGAGTCGGTATAGCGGAGCCTGGTTCGGGGGTTGAGTTTTACTTTTGCCCCCCACATGGAAGAATTCTTGATATGATTTGCAGGATCCTTCTAAGGGAAAATAATGAGGCACTTAATGCAATTGAAAATGGCCTAATAGGCGTTGTTGTATGGAGAAAAACTCAATTAACGTCTATGTCCCCAAACTCAACGTCACACCACAAACGCAGTTCAAAAAAGCAACATTTTAGTTCTAGAAGACAGCAGGAGACATCGAACTTGAAAGCTAATAATATTTCCCCTAAACAGACTATTCCTCATGGTTATTTTCCTGCTGCCGGTGCTCGTCCTCCGCCTGAGGAGGATGATGCAGATGGTGATGACGATGTTCCTCCCGGGTTCGGTCCTTCAACTGCTCGGGATGATGATGATCTTCCTGAGTTTAATTTCTCTGGTTCTGCAAACCCTCCTGTGTTTTCTTCCCAGACCAACACCCCCACTACCACCCGAGGGCTGCCGAGGCATCCCTCATTCCGCCCAGCTTCTTCCCAATCTGGGTCTCGCCCTGTCGAGCAAATGCGAGAGCTTGTGCAAAAATATGGGCAAAACCTATCTAACAGCCCCTCCACTGGTAACTGGGGAGAAAGGAGCCCCTCCACTGGTAACTGGGGAGAAAGGAGCTTAAGTTCAGTAGCTATGCAGCCATGGAACGATGACGACGACGACATCCCGGAGTGGCAACCACAAGCAGCAGCCTCACAGCAGCTGCCTGTGCGTGGGTTCCATCAGCCGACGCTGAGGGCTCACTACATGGTGAACCAGCAGCAGCAGCAGCAGCTGCTGCAGCCTGTAGGGGCCCCAGCGCCCTTAAGTGTGAGTCAACAAGGGACGTGGTGGGGTCCTCAGCAAGGCCACAACAACAGCAACAATATACAGCCTACAGGGAATTTAGGTGGTAGTCATAGTAGTAGTGGTCAGTTTTATGGGGCTTTTGGGCGATCAGCTCCTTCCAACCCTTCAAATAATAGAGGGTTTTGAATTTTTCCTTTGTTTTTATGTAAAGTTAATTTCTTTGTTCCTTCTCTCTTTTCGTCTCCTTTTCCCTTTTTAGCTTTTGTCTTATTACTTCTGTTGTAATCTTAGCATTTCTCACTTCTTCTCCTCTTTCTGTAAGCTTTTGGGTCGATCCCGAGGCCTTTTAGTTCCACCTTTATAGGTTATTGAAGGAAGAACACACATGGAAACTGAATCTCTGGGTTCATACATATTTACTACAGTCTAAGACAGATCTTTGAAGTACTTTTATTCAATGGATATTCATATTATTTGAAGTATTTGCTTGAAATGCATCAAAATGTTTTTGTAATCTTTAAAAGAAAAATGTTTTTTTCTTTGTACAAATGAAAGAACAATAGGGAAATTGATGACAGAAGGTTACATCTTACAAATATGGGTAAGTTACAAGAGTGGACATCTAAATTTATGAGGGCATACTGTCTCAACAATCCTTTGCCGTTGGTTTTCACCTTTGGTTGATTAAACATCACCAATGCTCTCTTCCTTCATCAGCCTCCCAAAGCACGTTTGAGTCCTGCTCGTTGCTCGTGGGTTAATCTCGTTGGGAACTTTACCTCGAATTTGATCTTCAAATCGCCCCGATTACCTGGCTCTCTTACAATTGGCATCCCCTCTCTGGTGATTGCGAGCTCGTAGCCCGGGCTAACGATGTCTATTACGGGTATTGACAGGTTACGACCATCGAGTGTGGTAAGATTTACAGTGGTTCCACCCAATGCCTCTGCGAGTGTCACCTTATGGTTCATAATGATATCATTACCATCTCGTTTGAAAACATCATGGGGCTTCTCATCAATAACAAACACTAGATCTGCAGGCAGCTGGTTTGGTTGTTCATTGCCTTTGTCTGGGAAGGTGATTTTGGTTCCCTTCTTCCAGCCAGGCTTCACGTCGATGGTCAATATCTCCGTCTCGGGGACCCGTCGTCTGTAACATTTTGATACACAAGATGGAACAGAGTTCATTACAGAAGAACAAGCTATGGAAAATTTAAAGATATCAGAAAATTGAGACTCCAGTTCCAGAATTCTATAAGAAGTCATGCTGACAATTTAAACCTTCTCCTTTTTACCCCAAAAGTGTAAATCTGTAACTACTATGACTACATCTGAAAACCTCACAAGGGAAACAATGTTTTGGAAAATAAACCAACATTTTCATCCTCTACAATTACTGTTAAAAATCACATCCTTCCAAACAACAGAAAATGGTACGATTGTTTTCGTAATAGGAAGTTCTTTAAAATGCGTTTGCTAGAGAAAAGTTTCCACACTCCTACAAAGAATGCTTCTTCCTCTTCTCTAATCTCCAATCGAGGTGGGATCTCACAATCCACCCCCTTCAAGGTCCACTTCCTCTTCTCTAATCTCCAATCGAGGTGGGATCTCACAATCCACCCCCTTCAAGGTCCAGCATCTTCACTGACACTCGTTCCCCTCTTTAATCAATGTTGTTTCTCTCTCCAATCGGTGTGGGATTTCACAATCCACCCCTTAGGGCCACATCGCCCACGTCCGGCTCTGATACCTTTATAAGAGACCAAGCCCACCGCTAGAGAATATTGTCCTCTTTGGGACTTTCCTTTCGAGCTTTCTCACAAGGTTTTTAAAACGCGTTTGCTAGGAATAGGTCTCCACACTCTGATGGACGTGGGACATCACATAAAAAGCAATAAGGTAAAATGGGAAGAAAATTGCATACCCGTTTGCATCAACTACGGTTCTTGAAATCTTCATTTTCCTTGTTGATCCAGAGTACAGCTCCTCAAGAGTGCAGGGCAATTTGCTCTCAACCGGTGGAGGTTTCTTTGGTGTAACATTTTCACTAAATGTTCCGAAGAGGTTTTCACTTCCACCAAATCCCCCAAAAACTCCTCCCTCTGATTGGTACCTCATGGACTTCCCTGGTCCTGATGAACCAAACCCAAAAGGGCTGCTCCCAAAAAATTCTGCAAAAATGTCCTCTGCATTCCTCGGATTAAACCCACTCGACCCGCCACCGCTACCATTTCCAAATGGGAAGCTTCCACTGCTTGGTGGTGGTATATCTTTCAACCCTTCTTCACCATATTGATCATAAATAGCCTTCTTCTGGGGGTCACTCAACACCTGTTTTATAAAACTTATCTGATTATACAAACAGTTTGGACATTCGTTTCTAGTCATTGGCAAAAAGTGAATCAGAAATAAATAATCATCTGGCAAAAGTCTGGTTTCAATCTCAAGACAGAATAACACAGAACCACAAAGCATCATAAATTCTGATTTGGAGCGTTGGAGAGTTCGAAAATGGAAAAGAGACAACTCTAATCCGCCTAAAACAAAACCAACCTTAAGAAAATCATTAAAAAGTTCATCCTCACAAATTTCCAACCATGTTTGTTGGCCATCTAAGCTAAGTTCTATAGATTCTTTCAGCAAGAAAATGAACGTAAGCCCTAATACATTCCCATTCTCACGGCCCAAATGATAAGAAAACAAAATTTTCCTAAAGAATAATATAAACTAAAGAAGAAGAAGATTAAACCATTTTAGGGATTTATTAAACAAGAGATGCAAAATCTTGCCTCATAGGCCTCGGAGATCTGCTTGAACTTGGTTTCGGCTTCTTTCTTGCTGTTTGGGTTTTTATCAGGGTGCCATTTCATGGCCAGCCTTCTATACGCCTTCTTGAGATCGTCGTCATTGGCGTTCCTGTTCACCTTCAATATGTTGTAATAATCTACTCCCATTCTCGATCGATTCCAACAAAAATCAGATCCAATCGCTTAAAATCCCTAGAAATACCCAGATCTTCTAAATGATCTTCAACTCGTACCCGACCCTCTCTTGGCTCATAAACCATACGCCAAATCTTGAAATTGCAAAACACAGACAATTTTTTTGATCGATCCTTCTCTGCGGATCGGAAACACGAAGTCAAGATTCTGGATCCGATGTTTTTTTCAATGAAATTGGACTGAGAAACTTCGAATTATGAAAAAGAAAAGAAAAAAAAAAATGTATACGATCCAGAATTCGTACACAATGGAGAAAGAACTGATGGGTCGATATCGTTGTGATGCACGTAGGTGGAGATCTATATGGATACCGCGTTTGCTGAGTGTTGGGATTTTATAACCGAAACTCGCGGTGAATTTCAAATTCTCGTTTAGATTTTTTTTTTTTTTTTTTTTCCTTTTCTTAATTATTTTATCCCCCTTCCATAATAGGGTTAGGGTTACGCTTCCTCAACTTGCTTCTCAACTTTCCAATTAATTGTCGTAAAAGTTAATATATAACAGTATATTTTAAGTTTTTGATATCATTTGTAGTTTAGTTTTAAGTTTTTAAGTTTCACTCCGCTCTTGACTCCGTTCTTCTCTTAGTTAAGTTTAACCTTAAAAGTCTTATACATAAGTGAAATGTTTAAGTGAAATGTTTGATATAATTCCTTCGATAGATTCTTAAAATTTAAAAATGTCTTATTCTCCAAAGAAGAGAATATCTGCTTGCAGTAGGCTTGAGCTGTTACAAATAATAACAAATGATATCAAAGCAAGTTCGGGCAATATGCCAGTGATGACACTAGGCTCCTAAGGAAGATAGACTGTGAGATCACTCGTTGTTGAACATTCCTTACAAGAGTGTGATAATTTCTTACAAAGGTATGGAAACTTCTTTTAAAACTTCGAGGAGAAGTCCAGAAGAGAACAATATCTACATCTGTGAATGAAAATAGTCGAGATAAGAAGTTGTAGGCACCACCCTACAACACAAAAGAGGTGAAGAAGGGAATATCAATAAGCAAAGCTTGCCCTATTTCGATCTTTTTGATCGGTCAAACCGAAGACACCGACGACGTTGCAAACGAGTTCATGTAAGTACAAGGAACTCGGAACTCGGAACACTATACAATCCTATAACCAGAGAGGATGCCTTATCCTAAAGTAATCTAAGGAAAACCAGGAAAGGAAACAGAAAACCACTTCTCAAAACTAACAGGCACTCCTAGAATCTGGTTGAAGTACTTGCGCCACTGGCTACATTCTTCATTCTGGAAGAAAGTTGATCAGCAGCTGCAAACCCGGATTCCGAGATATCACCGATGTCCAAAGAGTCCGGGAGACTTTCAGGGTCGTATTCAAAATCAGATGGATGTTTGTTCTAAATATCAAATTAAACCAACAAAAGAGTTAGTTAAACATAGATACCATTCACAACATGCATAAGATCATCATACATCATACGTGATACTAATAATGCAAATCACAAGCATAAACAATGTTCGTCAACCAAGTTTGTACGGTAACAACAGTCGAGTGAAACAGCAGTCTAAGATAAAAAGGGCAGACAGAGAAAACCTCAAGTTGGTTCAGCATGTCCATAGCAGCATCCAAGTCAGCGTTATTTGCAAAATAGACATCAGTAAGGGACTGTTCAGATAGTCCAGGGAAACAGATTTGAAGCAATTCCAGTTCCATATTAACTTCTGTATGAAACGTCTCCATTTCAGCGAATTCACTATTGTCTTTTGACAATGATCCATGAAAAGGGTGATTCTTCACAGCAGAAGCAACTGCATCATCAGGTGCCTTTTTACCATTGCGCAAATTTAAACCACACATTTTCTGTTCAGAATTTCCCGGAAGGTTAGCCCCAATATTTTCCCTGGAAGAGCTTTCTGCTATAAAAGCTTTGTTAGCCTCTCTCTTGGAGATTGGAATGTAGGATGTTGCATACGGGTTCAAAGATGATCCGTGCGGCTTCATTGCACCAGATGCAGAAATTATCGCTATCTCGTCCTGTCCTTCCTGTAAAACAATTGTATGAAATGCTAACAGATGCAGAAATGATTCAAAGAAATGATTGAATGCGAGGGAAGAATGAAGAAGTTCAAAACTCATAGCACTTGGTATGAAATGCAACATCAAGTCGGCATAGCCTTCAAGTTCTGCAAGCATTTCGTATAAATAATTCCAAGGAGCAATGAACACTCAGATCAAGAAAACTCAAGACAATTCAACACATTGTACGCTAACAATTTCACAGCAATGAAATTTTTTAGCAATTGGACGCATAATTCGGATGATCAGAAAGAAAATATTAATACATCTATGCGTTCAAACGAACTCCAAGAAAAGCAAAGATCAGACCATGGAAACATGAGAACAATTAAATCTATACAGCAAACCACTTAAAAACGAAGATTTAAAGAAGAAAGTCTACGTATCCAAAGCTAAGATTTACTAAGAATGATTTCATCACTTCACAATTGCAGAAAGAAAATATTGATAACCACATACATTAGAATAACCGGCCATTACTTCTAAACCTAACATTTCTTCGACTGATAATATCGAACCACAGCAAATCAATTGGATAACAGAGCATATATAACAACACCAGTTTCAACGCCACGAGACTTCCTCTATTTCACTTATCAGTCCAAAATTACACGAAAAGAATTCAACACCTAACACGACGATCGGACTTCCAAACAAGAAACTCACCATCGGAGACAAAATCTCGATCTCGCAGGTCGAATTTCAACACCGTAAGAATTTAAGAAACCCTAATCGCTTACCGAATCAACAGAGAAATAGGCACTGATCGGTAAGTTGGAATTGAGATGGAGAAGTAAGATTTGAGTTGTGCTCAGTCTTAGACTTCCTACTTAAGTTTTGACGATTAGAGGATTCCGTTTGGATACACGGATTAGATGCTCCCGGTTGGGATAGCGCAGTTAAAAAAAAATAAAAAAAAAATAGTAAGATTTAGTTTTAAATTATTTTAAACAAAATATCAATCCCTTTGAACTAAAATAATAATAATAATAATAATAAATAATTTTCATTCACTTTTATTTTGACATTAATCGTCTCTACAATTAGTATCTATCATCTGTTAATTGTTGAATTAATGTTGAATTAGTCGATTTCATGATTATAAGTTCATTCCATACTGTGCTAAGACTAGAATAGGGACTTGTAACTTCATTGTGCTACACCAACTAGACTAGGGCTAGGTTATGTACATTATTGTAAGTTCATTAAGTTCACTGACCAGAATAGGGCTAGGTTATATACATTATTGTAAGTTCATTAAGTTCACTAACTAGAATAGGGCTAGAATTATATACATTATTGTAAGTTCATAAGTTCACTGACCAGAACAGGGCTAGAAAGTTCACTGACCAGAACAGGGCTAGAAAGTTCACTGACCAGAATAGGGACCAAAATAGGGCTAGAAAGCTCACGGACCAGAATAGGGCTAGGTCATATACATTCTTGTAAGTTCATAGGACTAGGTTATAAAGTTCACTTACCCAAATAGGGCTAGGTTATATACATTCTTGTAAGTTCATAGGGCTAGGTTATATACATTCTTATAAGTTCATTCCATACCAGTAAAAGTCAATACTATGGGCTTCTATTGAATCGTATCGTCACACTTTTAAGAACCCTTTCGAACTATAGGTTGAAGTCTTTTCTCGAATTAACATCTCTAATAATTGGAACCGGAACCCTTTTGTGAATTAACATCTCGAAAGTCTTTCCTTGAATTAACATCAGTGACGTCACTGAACCCTTTTATAAGGGTGGAAAGGAGTAATTAGCATTTAGTTGGAGACGGAACCCTTCTGTAGGTGTGGAAAGAATGTAAATTAACTTGAATTAACATCTTAGTTGGAGCAATTAACATCTTAGAAAAAAGTTTTGGAGATTAAATTAACATCTTAGTTGTGATCTCCTCTGGTGAGTAAAGATTCATCAGCATTCCACTGTTTCTTTTTTAACCATTTTTTGGAGAGGAAGCTAAATGTCTTTTGATTCTCCAAAAAGATGGTTCGTAACAAAGGTCGAAAAACAAATTAAAAAAAGACTCGAAGAGTTTCTCTTCGAAAAAAAAAAAAAAGACTCGAAACAAAAAAAAACAGGTCATCAAAAACCTTTCACACAAATAAACCCAATTCGATTAGTTGCAGTCATTTTCTAGTTCACAGCCATTCCAAAACCATTTTCCATTTTGCAACAGTCACAGCAGCTATCATTCTCTCATCATACAAAAACGACGCCCCCGCAAACAACGGGAGCTAAGAAACAAGCTACAAAAAGGGACTCCAATCGATTCTCGAGATTGTCGAGAACACGAGGACGAATAAGTTGAGAGTTAAAAATGTTTACCATCTTCCCAATTACCTCATCTACAAAGGGACAACATTCTCCACATTCATAACATGAGCTACAAAATCTTATGCTGCAAATTGCCAGTCAGGAGAAGATATAGGAATTGAATATGCTTCATTCATTTGAGTGATGAATCAATCATACAAATTTACAGGTTACCTTTAAATGAAGATTTATTCTGGTGTGGAGAAACAAATTAATCGAGCGATGAAGCGGAATATTCGACAAGCACGAGCGTTCGTTGAGCTGGAGCTGCTGGACCTGATTGAAGGACCATACGCAAGCGGCTTGTAAGCTTGTAAGTGAATGTCCATTGCATGGCCATCTCTGACTCCTTCATTTGGCGAACAATGGAGGCCTAGAACATAATAACAATAAAACAAAATCCTTATTCAGCCATATCAACAGATTGTCTCATCTTTTCATTCTACTTTATATAACATTCTTAAGATCATAGCCAAAATGAGATATTACTTGAATGCGCTTTCCAAGCTGAACTTCAACTACAGTGCCAAACGAGATATTACTGGTGAGCGATTTGAGAGGATCGGTGGTCGGAAAGGAGAGTAAACTCGGGATTTGTGGAGCATATACTAGTCTCCACCTAGCCTGACCAAATTCACCTTTTCCTTCTATTCTAGGCATTAGCTTCTCGAGCGTAGCAGTTGCGAGCTTCTTCAAGGCTAATTGCCCATCGCTCTCCAATATCGATTCTGCCAATTGGTTCTCGAATGCCCGAGCAGCCTGATCCAAGCCAAGGGTATTAGGATGTCAGAATAAACTGCCTATAAATCAGAATGTGATCCTTGATCTGTGATTGCAAGTAATGATCGGAACAACTAGATTAAAGGATATTTTCTAGAACAGAAGCCTAAACATTAACAGTTCATATTATCTGAAGATTGAAAGAAGTGAAACAAATGTTGTCATTCTAATAATTACCTCAGTAGGTGAGAGAGCATCTTGTTCAACCGAACGGGTTGATGTCACCACCAATTTGTCTTGCCATTTGCTTGCTCGACTTTGAATTCTAATCTGCCACTCGGAACCGACTAAAGCTAAATCTAGCATGGGATCTAGCCCATTCTCAGGTTCAAAAGTGGCTACATTTAGATGCTCCCGTTTCAGTCTTACCTGCATAGTTAAAGGTTAATATCACTTTCTTTTGTTTAGAAAAAGAACCAATATAGGAAAGATTTGATGATACCTGGGTTGCGAGGAGATTTACGTCACCGTTATCGAAAGTTAAAGTTCCTTTCGGTTTAATACTTTTAGCATGAGCAAACCCATTAAGCTCAAGCTCTCCACTAACAGCAAAGTTGAGGATCAAAGGATAAAGAATTCTTAATTCTGGTCCAAGAACAAGCTTCAAATCACTAAGGCTGACATCGACACTAGGTTTAATGTTTACATTTCTGGACTCCTTTTCACTGTCAGCTGCTTTATCTGATACGGAGCGAAATAAACGATAAAACGACGTAATAGTTTATTTGTATTTTCACTATTTATATTCACGTAGTAAGTCATATAGAGTCATGAGATTGACAGATAAAACCACTTAAGAATCCTACGGAGGAAAGAATTTATACTAAAATAGAACTTCATGCTGTCACTAATGTTTGAATTACTTCACTGCCGGCATCTCTTGTGTTCCTATCAAACCGAACAACCATTTTTCAGACTCGAGTTCCGAATAGGCGTAAAGCTCTCCAGAGGGAGATTCTTTCTTTCTAGATGCTTTTGCCACTGGTTAGCTATTCTATTCGAGTTCCAAATATGATTAAAAATAATGGTCTTCAAAAGAGCGAGGAGACATGCTTGAATGAAAAGTTTTACATTCAAGTCAGACCGAGTCCACTAAGTCCCAAACCGAAAGAAAAAAAATACGAGCAGTCCTTCGCAAAAAAGAAAAAAAACTAATCACATTAGTGTTTATCCCTAATACTGATATATAAGTGTGTCAGAGCAAGAGGAATGCTTGTGAAATTCATGCATAACGAGAAGGTATAGAGGCAGAGATAGAAAATACGAATATCACCTCGGGGTGCATCGAACCTAGTTTTCAATGCTGTAGATTCTGAACTGAAAAATGGTGAAGCATATTTGGAAGCAACTACTTGGTTCGAGCTGCCGGTAGGGGGACTGAATTGGTCTGATACCACTTTATTAAAAGAAGCAGCTCCACTACCCTTATCATGTGGTAGATATGCTTCTCCGCGACTCAATTGAATATTTCCGGAGATGTTTGGTTGCAATATTGACCCAGTAATTTGCATTTGAGAGTCAACTTGGCCACTGCAATTTCAAAGATCAAAGATACAGATAATTATCTTACTTTCATGGAACAACAGGAAGAACACTGAAGATGAATAAAATAAAATAAAATAAAGAACACACTGAAGTGTGCTATACTCCAAATCCTCTCCTCCCACGACACGCATCACGAAATATTATCCTATATCTTTCTAACCAGATACTCCAAGTAATAGCAAAAAAGGCCAGTCCACCATAGAATCGACCCAGTGTTATGGAAGGGAAGATCAATGAGTACTTCCTTCATCATGTCTTGGCAATCCTCGTTAGGAGCTAAACTTACAATGAACATTTAAAAAAATCAGTACCATATTTTCATAGTAAAATAAAACCTCCATAACACATTATCCACTGGGGTCTCACAACTATAGAGGAAGATCTTTGGAAAAATGAAGAGAAAAGCCTAAACTTCTTTGAAATCTGAACCTTCTAAAGAGAACCAAATAAAGGGGAATTAGAAGAGGTGGGATGAATCAACAAACGAGAGAGAGAGAGAGGAGATTTACTAGAAAGAATGCTAGAACGTTCGAGAGAACATGTTCGGAAATACTATAGTTAGGGAAGCCGAACTCTATGTAACAACATAAGAAGAATGGATAAATCTTGAGATTCATGGACTAGAGGTCGTCTAAAATGAAACAGGATTTTTTTCTATATATATAAAAAAATGAGAGAGATTTCAACTGCTCAAAAACTAAACATTCAATGTCATATAACAAGAAAATGAGGAACACTAATAAATTATTTGTCATGGAAGCCAAAATGTTAAGCCACATTGTGCATCATGGAGTACTTGAAAGTCGTAAATTAGACAACGAACCTGAAAATATTCTTCGCCCGTACTTCCAGAACTTCACATTTTAAATCAATCTTATCACCAAGGGATGCTTCACTTGATCTAAGGGGCAGATTCCCTTTCACAATCAACTTCCCTCTTCTGCTTACACGGCTTTCCAAGGAATTGATGCAAAGCCTATTTGATCTTACATGGACCGTACCACCGAAGTTGATGAGTGGTTTAGGGAGCACGGGGGAAGATATTGAAGCCCTGTGGAAAGATGCAGATCCATCGAGTACTGGTTCCTCAATGGTCCCTTTTACCTATTTATTAAGAGAATATGTAATTGAAATACAGTGTGAAAGAGATTAGATGATATAAACCC